CTCAATCGAGCAACGAACCAAGAGAACCTCGTCCCTCGACTTCAGAACTGGGGGAGTGGTGTTGGGGTCATGGCTGAACTGGCCCAAAGAGACACGTGCCCGCCCAGTCATTGCCCGACCATGTCAGCTTATCTCGACCACATTGGCTTAGCTCGGCCACGTCGGCATAGCCCGACCAAGCTATATTACTATTGTGGTCCCCTGCCTTATCCCTCCAGCCACGTCAGCTATATGCCACACGGATAATCCCGACTACGGATAAGGGTGGGAAGACAACTCTGCCAAGGAATAGTATTCTACCCCGACGGAGAGCTCTATCCCGATTATCCCGGAACTCTAATCCGACCAGGAGACGAAACCACTGCTATAAAAAGGTACTCCACGCTCAAGGTAAGGCATCCCCCAACTTCTAGCACCCACACTGTTACTTTGCTCGGACCAGCACCTTCATTGCTCGGCCCGACCATTCACCGCCCTCTCACTGACTCGAGCGTCGGAATGTCTACCCGAGGACAACTCCTCGGGCCTCTGACTACTTTTCTTGATCATAGGCTACATAGCGCGGCATCGTCCTTGTAAGCTTGGCACCGCCTAGTCAACAAGGATTATCTATTCGGTCTCCTCAATTCGTGCACTACCTTGAACTGAGCATCAGCACTATCTAAATTAGAAAAAATGATAAAAAACATATAAAATACAAGATTTTGCAATTTACATATTTGTATTTATACTCCTAAACTGAACCTAAAGAGTAAAGCCCATCAAGAATTGAGATTCATTTGGCCGATTTGCTTATAATATGAAACAAATGATAAAAAACATCATGATTTCACTTAGGTTGTATTTGATACTGTTTCTACTTGAAATGTTTTGAGTTGATTAATATATATAATCTGCTATTTCAGGTTATTTGGCATACCTTAAAAATGCATATTGGGTTTGGTATTTCTTACTCGAAAAGTAAACTTTAATCATTATAATTTATATCCATAAATTCAAACCCTTGTAAGTAAAAACAACAATGATACCAAATACAATCTTATTGGCTTCACTTTTATATGTAAGCCAAAACAGTCTCCCACGTTCCACAGAACAAGCTCTGCCAAGTACAGGTACAGCCTTGGCTTCTTAGCCAAATAAGCGAGAGGTGAGAGGATTATCAATTATGACAAGGATGGAATGGAGGCTTCTGCCTTCCCATCAATTATTCGTGCGATGTGGTCCTGCCTCTGTCCATATCTTTATCAGATGACTGTTGGGATACACGTGGACAACTTATTTTTTATAACATTGACATATCATCACACTACACAGACATAACTAACCACCCATTTAAATACCATTTTTCTTCTGTACAGCCCATCATCATACAACCACCATACGATTATTATACACAAGCACATGAACAAAATGTACAAGAACGTCTGTAGGGTAGGGTCAACCACTCAGCTCATCAACTAAGCACCAACAGTTGTCGATTTGAGAACCGGATCCATCTCACTCCGGCCACGACTCATCCTCTGGTCTTTGCTGTCGGTTGGACTAACCCATATTTCTGGAACCACTTGTGGCAGATGAACCACGCTCTCAACCACGTAATCGCCTTCTTTTCTCTTCACTTGCTTCCCAACCTTTTCCCCATTTCATCAATGACAGATCAATGTAATTAATTAGTTGAAATCGTAAATTGTTCGCGTTTAATCACATGAAGACAAAGCAGTTGTTTTGTTTTGGGTAGAGTGGTAGACCATAGGCCCACAGAATTGGATCTACACTTCGGTCCTTGGATCTTGACCCATATAGATACAACGGTGTGGGCCGTGTGGGGTGGCCCAATGTTTAATTGTCTATTTGTGGACTGTGGTCTTGGACTCTCCTCAGGTTGACAGGCAATGGAGCACTGTGTCTCTTCTGAAGTTCCTAACCGATTGGAGGCTTAATTAAGCCCATCAACCAAATTCCAAACAGAAAGAACAGGGGAGGAGGCTTACCAGGACGGTACGAAGCCCGACGGATTTTCCGGCGGCAATATTCCGTTCGTTGTCATCGAGAAACAGCTGCAAGGATCATTGTCACAATAAAATAATAGTTAATGGCTCGACGAGAAGAGAGAATAAATAAATAAAATGTCTAGATGGCGTACCGTACGACGAGGATCAACTTGTGCAGCATCGATGGCGATTTTCATGGCGTCGATCGACGGCTTCAAAACAACGGGAAACTCATTGGGACGACTGGATTTCGAAATGTTTGGATTAAGAGTTTCGAAGCAGATTATCTCATCGAAACAGTCTTGTAATCCTATCCTCTCCAAAACTTTAATCGCGTGCTTCCTATCGGAATTCGTAAAAATCTGCAGAGAAGAATCAAATAAGATTACGAAGATTTCTTAATCTATCATTACAAGGAGCTTCCTTGAAATCGAGTGAACAGCCTGAGATTTATTTGAATTGTTTTTATTTGATTCATCTTACGATCTTTCTCTGGTTGATGCTTCGTAAAAGAGCTCGTAATTGAGGATCTGGTTTGATCGCTTCATAAGGCAACCTTCCGTGCACGAAACTGGTAAGAAATTAAGATTTAAATGGCATAATATTAATCAAATCAATAATACAACGCCGAATTTGTTAAGAAGAAGAAGTCACATTCCACGTCTATTCTGTTTTGGGTTTCTTACCCGTGGTAGTCGTCGGCATCGATGTCATAACCTAGAAACTGCAATGAAATATAGCAAGTAATTACTCGTAAAAGAAGCAAGAGATATAAAGAAGAAATTTTAAGTTCTTCCTCTTTCATTTTCTGTTTAATCGGTTAAATAACTACTTACTCTCAAGCCGGCAAGAGAGCTCCCATATGTTTTGAAAAGCTCAACTCGTAGACCGGATGCTTTAACCTCTGCAAATCCGCATTTCTTCACAAGAAATTCTGTATATGTGGTGAAATAACATCGAGGACAGAGATCGCTGATCAGCTCATGAAATTCTTGAAATTCATTCTATTTTAGCAGGAAATTCATTTACCTTCGATGTTCCTCTTGCAGGCTTCACCGATTCCCACCTTCGACGAGTATAAAGTGTCATCGAGATCTGCCAACTTACGGAATCAGAATTATTCAACCAATAAAAGAAGAAAAGAAAAGAAAAGAAAAGAAAAAGATAAAGAGAAATTTACCGAAAAGAAGACAATCGAAAGGAGAAGTGAATTCTTGAATAGGTTTGCTGCATGGCTCCATTATTGAAGAGGGGAAAACAAGGAAGAGATGAATGACTGAAACTATGTAATAAAGAAAATTTCAACCCTTTGAGTGTGATGGAGAGAAGCTCTTTTTATAGATTCTCGATCAGGAGACGCTACAAGGGAGAGAACTAGAGAAGACGCCTACTGTGCCCATCGACATCAATTTCTAACGTAATGTCGGCCCTTATCTTCAGATCATCTAAAGTGGGTTGGGGGCCCACATGCGACTCCAAGCCCAAAACGACCGAAGCCCCATGATAACTCAGTGGTCAGAACTCAGAAACCGCCACGGGATCCAGGTTTCCACCTACAGAGCTACTGACCAAGTAGTACTATTATATTTAGAAACTAGAAAGCACGTTTGGAATTGTAAACTTGATTTATTTATTTTTGGCTTTTTAGTTACTGAAACATCCCCTACTTCAGGTGGATTTCAGCAATTATTCCTTTTTCTTTTTACTTATTTTATTAGGAAAGTTCTCAATCAGTATCCTATACTTTAGCGATAATTTGGTTCCTAAACTTTAAAATGTAATAATTCAATATTTGAAATTTCAAAATGTGACAATTCAGTATTTGAACTTTTAAAATGTGACAATCTAGTACCTGTCATTAATCATTCTGTTAATCAGCCTTTAAGTGACATTTGAAGGGTCAAAATGCCTTTTGAGTGCCATCTAATTCTCTTTATCAACCATTCAAACATTGATAATTAAATGAACAGTCCTAAAATCTAACTTCTTCTAAACAGTTACCAACTTTTTTTAAATAGAAGAAGCTAGGATTTGAGACTGTTCAAGCTAGGATTTGAGACTGTTCAGTTTTTTTTGTCAATGTTTAAATGGTTAATAGAGAATTAGATGGCATTCAAAGGGCATTTTTAACTTTTCAAATGTCACTTAACGACTAATTAACGTACTGATTAACAATAGGTACTGGATTGTCACATTTGAAAAATTCAAATACTGGATTATCACATTTTAAAGTTCAAGAACCAAATTATCACTCGAATTAAAGTACAGGAAATGCTCTGAGAAATACTTTCAAAACATGCTCTGAAAAAACAAGTGCTCATTTAAAAAAACAAGGGAATGCTCTTTGGGCGGTGGATTCATTTTTTTAATTAAGCATGTGAATTCATTTTTAACTAATCCTTTACAAAAGGAGGGAATTAAGCCACATCACCCACCCATATTTTAGAGAATCTTATTACATGGGGCTTATATTCACCGTCCAAAGAAGAACTCCCATTATTAAAATGAGTGGAAATTTTCTCACAGTATGTATACAAACCCACTGAAATTGAAATGGTTTATTTTTATAGTCTATTTGGTTTATACAGGAATCGAAATCAAATGAGATCAGTTGGGATGGGATTTCATTCCCAAGGGAAGGAGAGAGAATGATCATTCCCTTAAATGGAAAAGTGTCATTCCACCAGAAATGTGAATGAGATCCTGATTCCACTCAACCAAACAATTGGGAATGGAATGGCCCACTCCAATTCCAATTCCACACCTTTATTCCTATGTACCAAATGGGCCCTAAGATTCCAAGCTCCATCCAAGCTAGACATCATTTTGAAAAACCTAGGAATGACAATTCTAAGCCCTAACTTAACCCTAAGATCACTTGTTTGTGCATCCCTTTCATGTGGAAGTCCACCTAGTGCCTGTTTGGGAGGGCTTTTATAAAACGGCTTCTGGTGTTGCAACTTGCAAGGTAAGCTCATATGAAAAGCCGTGAAGCCATATTTAATAAAAAATTTTGAAAGACAATAATATACTTAATTAGATGGGCTACGAAACCGACTTTAATGCTATTTTTAATAGTTTTTCTGAATCGGCTAAGTCAATACAGCTCAGTCGACATTGAAGCCCTCCCAAATGGACCCCTAGTCGATGATTGAATGGCAATGCATTTTTGTAGCTGGAAACTGTCTGTTACGACTCAGCAAACACGAGCCGGTACGTACTTTACTGAGCTGAGCAATTTAGTCAATGACAGATCCGCTTTGGCGTACTAGCAAGTCTAACGTTGGCATGTGACACTCTCCTTCCTTGCTTTTTCATACGCTTGCYGGAGAAGGTCGGTTAAGCGCAGGAATCCCGTATGACCGAACTCGAACTTTAGTTGCAATGCAAATAAATTTGTACTGATGCAAAATTATGGCAGTACAAATGATTTGAGTGTAAATTCTAACACATTTTTTTAAATTTTAGCTTATCTTGTTTGATTGTAGTATAAATGAAGTACATTAAGATATGAAGCAGAATAAAGCAAAGGGATTATAGCTGATAAGGGCAACTTTTTGGCCCTAATATCAATAAAAATAATCCTTTTAATATAATTTCTAAAATATGTTATTTTTTTTTAAAAAAATATATCAAATAATGGCAAAAACATTATTCATCATCTTCCTCCTCTAAACCACTTCTGCCCCAACCCTGCGAACCTCAATGACCACCATCCACCAGCACCGCTATTACTGTCTCCACCCATCTTTGGCAACACCAATTTGATGACATGTCTCTACTACACCAACCTTGGGGTTGGGGAATCAGGAGTCGGTTCTGGAGGAAATATGGTTCAAAGAGATTCCATGTCAGTAGTCCGATGAAGAAGAAGGTCGCAGGACTGGGGTGGAGGTCGATTTGGAGATCTTCATCTTCTTGGTCATTGAAATAGACGGAGGTGGGTGGCGTTGAAAATGGTGGGCGGAAGCAGAGGTGGAGATGGGTGACGGATTGGCATTGCTAGAGGTGGGCGAAAGCAGTGGTAGCGACGACATTGGTGAATGGTGGTCATTGAGGTTCACAGGGCTGGGGCAGAAGTGGTTTGGAGGAGGAAAAAGATGAATTGCCCTTATTTGATATATTTTTTAAAAGGTTAACATATTTAGAAATTATATTAAAATGATTATTTTTATTGATATTAGGGCCCAAAAGTTGCCCTTATTAGCTATAATCCCTAAAGTAAAACCCAAAACAAAATAAAATGAGAATTTGCATTCTTTTTCTTTGCACTCCCATGCATTTGTATTAATACAAATAAAATTACACTACAATCAAACACAACTTTAAATACTGTGTACAAAGAATATATAGATAGATAGAGAAAGAGAGAGTACAAAACCTTACATTTTATATTATTTTATACTGTATATATTTGTATTTGTAGTCCTAAACTAAGCCTTATGTTATATTTGGTGAGGCAAAAACATGCTATTTTTTCTAGTATTGACTAAACCAATCTCAATCCTTACAGCAGCCGGTTCAGTTTGGATTGTTGAGAAGAATGCAAATATAAGGTTTCCAAATACTTTTATTAATTAAGATATCACATTGAAGACATTTGTATTTACATTCTCTACAAACCGAGCCTTTGCCTATACCATAGTAGGTAGTAGCCCTTCCTCTCACCCTTTTAAGAAGAGCAGAGCAAGTAGAGAGCGGTCGGTGATTTGGTGGAATGACACCACCAAGGGATAGGTTAAAATCAATGCGTACAGAATCGCTTAGTGTGTGGGTTTCATCATTAGAGACTTCCACAGGGTAAAATATAAAAATTCTCCCTAAACCTCCTTTTTATAGTTTAATTGTAACAAATACCTCCCTTAAAGGCTTAAACTTGTGAGAAATTCAACAAAAACTTTCCTTTTGTCACTTACCTGGAGGACGGAAAACGTATAAATTCATGAAATTACACCTGGGGCATCATTTAAAAATAGGGGTTTTATAGTTTAGGGGGTGGACTGAATCCTTGGATTGATGCTAAATTTACAAGATTTATAGGGGGGGGCTATTAGTAAGAGGGGGCTGCAATTCAAATTTCTGAGATGGATTGCAATCTGCTTATCCCTTAAAAAAATCATAAAATATCACATTTGCCCTCAATCGAGCATCATCTCATTCACTCAACATCTGCGGAGCCAGCGGTATAAGGGCTCCTAAAAGGTGGTGGCCCCAGCAAAACATGAAGAACGAAGGGTCGTGTCTCTGTCCCAGCAAACAATGCTCAGGCAGTTGCCGGCATATCATTTTCAATTTATTCTTCACCAGCTTAGGCTGAGTTTGGAAGGAGTATAAATGCAAATATGTAGGTTGTAAAACCTTATATTTTGTATGTATTTACGCGTACAATTTGCATTTATACTCCTCCCAAACTGAGCCTTAATATTAGCAACAATCCACCTTTAAGATACGTATCCATGTTTTTGAGGAACATTGACATCGCCAATTCTAGAGTTGGTGCAAAATAGCCAATATAGAGGTATAAAGTGAATCATGCTGGACTGGTGCGGATCGAGCCATGCCAGCCCATGGGCCATTACGGGTTGTGCCACCCTCCCTAGTGAAAAATTTGGAGGTCAGCCCGACACGGCCCATGGCCCAGGCCCATGCCATACCACGGGCCGAGCTTTGGGTCAGGTTGGACCGTGCATTGGGCCAAAGCTATTTATTTAAAAAAATTGACAAAAAACTTAAAATTTTAATCTTATATGAATTTTGTGTATACAATTGCTTATATATACAATAATTAAATAAATTAGTATAATAAAATAAAAAAAAATATTTATTTTAATATATATAATTATATAAGTATAATTTATATAATATATAAAATATATAATATATATGGGTCATACCAGCCCGTGGACCTAAAACCCCAGGCCCAACATGGCCTGTATGATTGTGACGGGCCTAACATAACCTATGGACCATCGTGCCGGGCCAATGCAAGTTTGTGCCAGGCGTAAATCGGATGGCACGGCCCGATTTACGCCTCTGCCAAAACCGAGAAGAGGACCCACAGGAATCAGGAGCTCGTAACCGCTCTATTATGTACCAGAATCGTCAGCAATGCTCTTAGATCGGAGGGAGATATTATGGGTGCACGCAAGGAGTAGAGATACGAGGGACATGCCTTCACGAGGGATTGATAGATCATAGATCCGTAGAACTCCCCACGCGCGGCCTCCACCTCCAAGGTTTTCACGTTGAAGAGGTGGAGTTCGTGTCGATAGCAGTTCTGATGCGGTCGAAGATATATTCTTCTAAGAACTGGTCTCACAACTCCACCTTGGGGTCTAGCTCTGGAACGAGAATGTGGTTCTCCAGGTCATCTTTTCAAACTTGCCTGGAAA